GGTGGCGGATCCCCAGTGCCCAGGGAGCAGTAACCCAGGGGCTCCCGGCGGTGTCCTCTTGGGCAGGTGACCTTTTGAAAAGAAAGTCCATGATACAATTCAGTGGTCCGAAGGAGCATCTTTACTGCAGGCAGGTACAAAGATCAACGTGTTTCCCGACTAGCATGAGTCATTTCATTTGCAGTGTCGGTCTCGGCAGGCCAACAAGTTTGGAAATTGCAGGCTTTGCTGGGCCACAGAATAGTTCAATCTACCCCTACTTCAGTTTCTCTGCTGTAAGACAGGGATGGTATTTCCCCGCACAAACTGCGATGACCCATCGATTAATAAAAACACAGTGATTTGCAGCTGCAAGATGCCAGCTAAAATGGCAGTGCAGTTTTCCTTCAAAATGCAACCTGTGCCAAACTCTGCATTTGCATTACATTTGTTATTCTATAAGTCGTCGTAATCAGTTCACGTCAGTGTGTATTCTTTGCCCTCTCCTTGGACAAGTCCCTGATGCTGGAAAAGTCAGCTTTGCCAGTCATTTTTGTAGTAACAGCATAAACGTTATGTTGTTGGCATGGAGCCACGGTGAGTCAGGCTTGGCTTTGGGCAGCTGCCTGGAGGGAGAGACTGGGAGAGAAGATCGGTCTGAAGTCCAAAGTAGAGAATATTGGCACAGGCGGCCCCAGGAGTGCCAAGAGTGGTCCCAAGCCTCGCCTGCCAGTGCAGCGTGAAACACTGTAACAATATGGATGTAGCCTACAAATGAGCAGTGTTTGCCAAAGAGGCTGGCAGGACCTGGAAGGCTGCTGATGGGGGAGTGCGAAGCTGCATGTGCTGCAGCTTCCTTTGGGTCCGTGGATGGTGGGAGGGTGCTGTTGCTCCACAGAGAGGGCTGCTTCTGGGGGTAGTTGGATATACAGGCTTTTATATGCCTGCTCCTGTGTCTTCAAGGGACTTGATTCCTTCTTGCATTAAGATGGAAGCAAATCTATTAGAGAAATAAATTGGAAAAAATATTGGCAGCTGTAGTTCTACTCACTTTTTGATTCTTCCACTTCTTCAGCATATTTCACATATCTGTCTTTGACCTTTCAGAAACACACATGTGCTAGACAGCTCATTGCCCATCATTGGAAAGCACTGGTGACAGTCTGCTAGGCAGGCAACTTGCTGATCTATTGCCTGTGGAAAGCTGCCTGAGGATAATGATTAGGCAAATGTTAATGATTTGTCGGCATCTGTAGTTCATTTATTTTTATCAACAGACTGAGCTTATAACTAGAGACAATATTGATCCGTGCAGCTATTGACACTCTTACTTCCATCTCCCCCTGCCCCCGTGTCATGTCTTGAGTCTAACTGAGGAGGGAGAGAGCTTGTATCATGTCCTGTTAGAAGGTCACAGCAGCAGCTCTGGGTGCTACTCAAATATCCCTAATAAGTCGTGAGGATGAAAGTATTTCTTTGGTGTTATTTTACTGGGACAGTTTAACCACTTTCCTCTATATTAACCATCTGTATGGGATTTTATTGGTGGATCACAGGGAGCTCAGAAGTTAAAGGGCAGCTGATTTCTCCAGGGCTAGGATCAACCAGCTACATTGTGCTGGTCTCAGCAGAGGGGGAATAGAGGATTGTCAGAGCCACAGGAAGGCAGTCCTTGCCCTTTAGTGTTCTAAGCTGCTTGGACAAGTCCCAAGCACTGGCCGTTTCCAGCTGCACGTGATAATAGATTGTCAATGGGAATTTGTTTTCGAGTTCTCTGGCCACTGGTAGTAAACAGTGGAAGAACACTGGCTGCAGGGGCCTCCTGTCTGATGGCATAAGGGAACAGGTAGGGATAGCAGAACACGTTTCCCTGCTGGTTCAGATCTTCCTGTTGATCTTGCCTTTCTGGAAAGATTCTCTCAAGCAAGCTTCAGGCAAAATCTGTGAGATGGACTTGTTCTGGAGGTGCAGTGGATTTGTCTCCAAAGCAGACACAGTGCAAAGCACAGGACAACTTCCACCTGCATTCCCTTAGCCGGAACCTCAAGGCCAGTGAGACAATACTCTGCGCTCAGTGGCCCATTTCATCCTTGACTTCTCTCCTGACTTAACTGCAAAGGAGAGGGCTGTGGATTATGGATTTTCTTCTTTTTCAAGATTGAAGACCCACCATTTTACTCATTTTCGTTGTTTGTACCACATGTATCTCAAAGACCTCTGAGCTATTGTGGCACCATTGAAGAGTCATAGTTTTGTGTTATTACAACCCCAGCTCAGGACTCAGTGACCCAGAAGAGCAACTTACACCCTTTAAACTATCTCTGATCAGGATGTTAAGTACAATTTTTGTGATTGCTGAGGTTTTGGGCTTTTTTTTTTTTTCCTCAGCATCTGCTTTTGCATGGAGACCTTTTGCCTCTTGAGCCAAAACCAGCAGAGAACCTGCCTGAGATCCCCACTAGAAAGGCTGTTGAAAGTTGTAGGTCAGAATGAGTTTGGGATTGGAACATGATCCTGCCAGTTGCCTGCAGGTATAGTTCCCAAAGATGCTTATAGGAAGGAGAAACTATTGGTCAAATTCAAGTAAAGCCAAAAGACAAGTTCATCACCTGTGCCTGCTTCTGCCTGTAAGGTTTTGTCCACTTACACTAGAATGAAATTTGGCCCAGGGAGACAAGGCCTGGGGTGCACGTACCGCAGGAGCGATCCAGCATGGCCATTCATTGCTGAGCAAGGAGCATTTCTGATCTCTGCTTGATTTTTGAGAGGCCCCTTTCTGTATTGGGTTAATTCCTTGGCCAAATCTTTGTCCCTGGCGCTGAAGCACACCCTCAGAAAAAGAATTAATGAAACACGGAAAGAAGGAAGAAAAGAGCTTTGATTTCCAGCTTGTGATGCCTTCATGTTTGCATGGAAATCCATTCTGCAGCACAGGGAGGAATCAGAAGGCCGGGAGCCCAGGCTGCCGGGCAGGCTCAGTCACCCCTGGAGACGATTTGGTGCCTGAATTTGAAGGGTTACCTTGTCCACAGCCTTAACTGATCCTTTGTACAGGTGTCATGGCCCAGGCAGTGGCTGAACACAGCTTCTGAAGGGGGAGGAGAGAAAGTGCTTGATCCACCCGGGGTGCCTTTGGAGATAGTGATTAGGGTGAGGAAAGGGAGTTAAACTCAGGAATGAAGGAAAGAGAGAGCACTGGAGGCTTCAGAGAAGCAGAGAGCTGGAGATGCAGACAAGTGTCCTAATCTTTGCAGCTGCAGGATAAAGATCAGAAACGGAATATAGTTAAGGACGTTGTGCAACAACTTCCCCAGCGATGGCTGCTCAGCTGTGGCACAGAGGAGAATAACTGACTCCACAGCACTGGTGTTCTCACTGTCAGCAGGGACATACTTATTCATAAGACACAGGTTTTACATCAATAATAAACATTTCAACACAATTTTTGTATGCCCATGTAAATACATAGACGGGTTCACATGAGGGTTGCTTCTAATCTGATTTGACCCTTTGAAAGTGAAATGGCGTTGTTGGTCTTCAGTCACTTCTGCTAAACACCTCCAAGACTCCAGCAAGCCCTCCTTCAGTGCCAGTGAGCGAGTCTTAATACTGGAGCCATGCGATTTTTCAAATAAGAAAATAGACAGGAATAGCTTCCCCTAATTATCTGCCTCACCTATCCTTCTTTGTCCTATACTAAAAATGAGGAAGGGCAAAAGTATCTTGCCTTTTTCCAGGTCAGTCACTCATGCTTTTTTGTGACAGATTTGAAATAGTTTGGGTGAGCAAGTCCCAGGGAGGCACAGGTACAGATGTCCAGCATGTGCATAAACCTTGCTTTATGCTGCGCTCAAAGGGAAGCCAAACCAGTCTGTATGTTTCCCTCTGGCTTCCGATCCACTTCATGGTCTAGTTCAAGGACTCGCATGAAGCTTCTGGCTTGGCACTACAGAAAAACATTTAGCTTGAACATGAAATTTCACTTGGAACGATGGCAAACAGAATTACAGGCACAAGATATGTGGCCACCAGACCCCACTGGGACTATACAAAGGATCGTCCCGACAGTAAATTTTCTGGTGGTTTATCCAGCCCACTCTGAAGGAAACCAAGCAATGTGGTTTCTGCCACTTCCCTTTCAGAGGGCCTTTGTCAGCCAGATAACCCCTGCAACGAGGAAACATTTTCTTGCTGCATAGCCTCATTTCCAAACATGTTTCATGTTAACTCATTCCCACAGTGTCCCCTGGGGGTGGGGATACCAAGGAATTAAGGTCATACTGCCAGGGAGGCCAAAATGCTGCAGGTTCTTTTGAGGTCAGCAAGTGATGGGCTGTAAATGCTACTATCAACATCCTGCTGGTACAACAGCTTTGCGGGACACTTGCCAATGTGCCTTTCTGAATGCATCTTTTTTTCCCCTCTGCTTATAGCTGTCCTGATGTCCCTGTAAATTCATCCTGGAACTTAATTTGAGGAAAGGATCTACTGAATCAAAAGCTTCCTTCTGCTCTTCCCCTTCCCATACCTTCAAGATGGCATCCGATAGCCCAGAGTCACTAATGACCTTGTGCACAGATTACTGCCTTCGCAACTTGGAGGGGACTCTCTGCTACCTACTGGACAATGAAACTCTCCGGCTCCATCCTGACATCTTCTTGCCAAGCGAGATTTGTGACAAACTTGTCAATGAGTACGTTTCAGGCCTGTGGAGAAGCTGTTATCTGGTTTGGGAAGGAGCCAGGAGCTCAGGGAAGGGGGAAGATAGTTCTCTAAAAAGAGTGATGGGAAAGGATAACGGGGGGAAAAAAAAAATGGGGAAGAATTCTTAGGGCTGTTTTTTTCCAATTGATCCTCATATTAGAGATAAGGATTTGCATTAACTTCATAAGGAAGTGTCCTCAGAGGTTATTGTACTGCTACATATCATTCTAGTTTCTGTGGAAATCACCATTTCCACCTAGGTAAACCCAGAGTGAAACAAACAGTCGCTGCTTCTTCCAAGAACATCAGTAAGCAATAAAGGCCAACAAAACACTTCCCACTGCTGAAGCATTACAACTGTCTCTCAAACCAGAGAAACAGGAGTGCAAAGTGCTAACAGATGTTAAATTTTAAGGCTGCTGCTCCCATAGCTTTACAAAGCAACCTGTTTCCAGCGCTTTGTAATTTGGCTATCACAGTCTCTCTTGGCTGAACTCCTGCCCACAAAGTCTGGCAGAGAACTTTGGCCAGCTAATTTTCTGAAAATGAAAAATCAAATTACTAGCTTTAAACAGCTAAGGGGGAGAAAATAATCCTGGAGTCTGTGCTTGCCAGAATCCAGTTTGCTTACAGATACACACACACATGACCTTGCACAAATCTTTGCCTGAGATTTTTCTTAAGGATTGTTAGTACTGTGCAAGAAGAAGTAATAGGCAAGCTCCAATTACCCCGAAGGCTATTCTGGATGATCAGGAGAGAGTCTGCATGTGCTTACACACTTGGTCACATTTTCTCATAACCAGCAAAGGCACTAGAGCTGTAGCTGAGCCTTTGTGTTGTGCTGTGCTAACACCATTGCCCCAATACAGGTACGTGGAGCTGGTGAAGACTGACAGCATCTTCGAACCCCATGAAAGCTTCTTCACCCTGTTCTCAGATCCACGGAGCACGAGGCTAGCTCGGATCCACTTGCGGGAACAGATTGTGCAGGACCAGGACCTGGAAGCCATCAGGAAGCAGGTGGTATTGCACTGATAGCCTCCAGCTGCCACTTCGTTTAGCAGCATTGCTGCATGGGCACCAGCTAGAATCCCAGGCACCCAGAGATTCTCAAGACTCTATCCTTCACCATCCAGATTTTCCCTGGGAGAACCTCAGCTTTTCCCTTCTTAGCTCCCAAAGCTGCTGTAGGGAATGGGATGGAGACACTGGTCAAGTTTGGTGATATATGGTCTCAGGCTCTCCCAGTGGGAGGTGTTGTAGCAAACAGGGTGGGCACTCTACCTGTGAAATATTTCTAACTTTGATTTCCCATCTTCCAGGATCTTGTTGAGCTCTACTTGACTAACTGTGAGAAGCTGACAGCCAAGAGTCTGCAAACCTTGGTGAACTTCAGCCACACACTTATCTCCCTTAGCCTCTTTGGCTGCTGTAATATCTTCTATGAGGAGGAGAACCCCGGAGGCTGCGAAGATGACTGTTTGGTGAACCCCACTCGCCAGGTCTTGGTCAAGGACTTTACTTTTGAAGGCTTTAGCCGCTTGCGCTTCCTGAACCTGGGCCGCTTGATTGAAGGGGTAAATGTGGAGACATTGCTTCGGCCCTTGGCCTCCCTTGCAGCTCTTGATCTCTCTGGGATCCAGCTGAATGATGTGGGATTTCTGACCCAGTGGAAGGACAGTCTGGTTTCCTTAGTGCTTTACAATATGGACCTTTCAGAGGAGCACATCCAAGTGATCGCACAGCTTCGCAAGCTCAGGTCAGCAGATCTGTTCTTCCTTGTTTATCCTTTTCCCACTGATAGGGAAAGGTCTTGTAGGAATGGTCTACTTGCCTGCTAATGGGGAGCCACCCACTGCTGCTTTCAAGTTATAAACCTTCCCATGAACAGGCTCACTCATTGACTCACTGTACATGTCTGACAGGTCTAAAGCCAGCCTGCATTTTGCTTGCAAAAGAACACCACTTAGCAGAAACTCCCTCTTGGAAAAACAAAAAACAACACCTCCCACCCCCACCAAAAAAACCCACACACCAGAACTGCACACACCAAAAAAAGAAAAAAAAACCACAACAAACCAACCACCACCACCCCCAGCCAAACAAAGAACAGCTGAATACCTGAGAGATGGCAAAAAAAAAAAAACCTACAGATGTGTACATATACTAATATAGCGATAATCACACTGTGAAACTCAGTCCTCCAAACCACTTGTCAATCAGGAATGTCCCAAGTTTAAGCCTGGCTCCGAGATAAAACTAGGAAAAACTTTGAGCTCAGACTGCTCGCTGTGCTCTGTGCAAGTACAAGCGTGCATGAATGGTGCAACCAAGGGAAAAAGCAGTGTAAATAAATAGGCACTCCTGACCTAGCCGTGTTGACAGTGAAATGACTTCCTGAAATAGAGTTGAGACAATTGCTATTCAAACTGCACAGTGGTATTAGGAAAGGGATCCAGGACTTTCCAAGCCAAAGAGAAAGGCCTTACTATTCACACGAAGGATACTTTGCAATGGCTTTAATATCGTCTCTACTGACTGCAGACATTAGGGGGTACCACGTTAACATGTGACCTAGGAGTCTCGGGAAACATCCTGGATAACATTTTCTAAATCCCAGTACTTTAACTCCCAGTAATTTGCAATGAACCTTGGTCTACAACAGGTAGGAAATGCCTTTGTGAGTGGGATGTTGGCTCCTGTCTTAGGCAGTTTAGAAAAGTCTCTCCCAAGGGCCTTAGCTACTGCTTGGCAGGCACAAGCAGCCCCTGTCCTGTAAGGGACCCCACCTGCACATGATGGTTTGTCCCACCACCCCCTAGCATCAGGGTTTCCCCAAAGCTTAAGCATTTAAATACCTGAAGATAAATGAGATCAGGGCAGCGTAATAGCCTGGGGTGGAAAAAATAGAAGATTGGATTGGGGAAGCAGACAAAAACTTGTGTAACTTAATTTGTGGGATGAGGCAACATATGTCTCTAGGGATGCAAAGATCCTCTATCTAGTGCATCTTAATCATCAGGCAGAAATGCTCAGGTAGCTGCTGTGATGGAGCTTGGAAAAAGCAGTTCCTGAGCCTGGAGCAATTTCCTTTGTGATGTGTGGCCAAATGATTCATTGTGCTCCATTCTAACTAGACCTCTACCAGATATCTGTGTACTTTGGTTAGACACAGGGCTAGATCCTGCTGCCAGATCCTACAGAACCACATTCCTGTATCTTGTGAAGGAAATAATAATCATAATAAATAAATAAAAAACAATAATCACACTTGGCTTGTCATCTTCCTCTGTAGAGGGGCAGAAGCCCCAGCTAAGCTCTGAGCTCCTCTCTGTCATTTGCAGGCACTTGGATATCTCCCGAGACCATCTGTCCAGTTATTACAAATTCAAGCTGACCCGGCGGGTTCTAAACCTGTTTGTGGAAAACTTGGTAAACCTCACTTCGCTCGATATCTCAGGGCACACCATGCTGGAAAACTGCACTATCCCAAGCATGGAGGAGAAGATGGGCCAGACGAGGTAAGGAAACAGCAATTACTGAGGTCTGCTTGGATGGCTAGATCAGTCAAAAATGAATTAAGAACAGTTCCCTCTTCTAAGTTTCCAAATTCTATAGGTCTAATTAATACTAAAAAGCAGGATATGGCTGTTGCTAGTTTCTCCTGATGCTAAAGACTCTTATGGGAATCAGCTTTGATTCTTGTATGTGACACATGTAAGGACTTTTAAGAGTAGTAAAGAATTCATCCTATCTGCCTCCCATACATATCTGAAGAAACATTTCAGTTCTTTTCCACACACATTCTTCCAGGGATCTCTTGCAGTGGTTTATATTTCTTCTGAAAGGACTCCAAAGTCCTTTACACATTTTCTACACAAAACGTTCTTACCTTCACTGAAATCCAGGCTCTTCCAAGACAGAACATTTCTAGGCTGAGTCAATACATCAATGCGCATAGGAGGGCTGAGTGTTTCAGGAACTTAGAATCTAAAGGCATATTTTCAGATTTGACCTGGATGCTGGGCAAATCAACCTTTGAAAATCCTGGTGCATCTTAGTAGGGGCATACCTAGAGGTCTGGTTTTCCAGATCAGCCAAGAACTCTGCCCTCCTATTCCCCGAGCACTTACTGAACAAAAGCAAACAAGTGGGACAGTACTGGCTCCTTTCCACCCACGCTGGTTAAAAAAAATACTGGCTCTTGGTCAATAAGGAACATGGCAGCAAAACTAGAGTTCTTGCATGATCACAGATGCAGACTAGCATGTCTGCTAGCACTAGCAGATGACATGCAGTCCAGTTTGCAAATAGTTTGGATTGGTGAAATCCACAGATCTTTCCTAAGAGGAAATGTTCACCCCAACTAGTGAATCTCCAGGACAAATTCTGCCTGGGAAAGCTGCATTCTGTCTGTGTGAATTCTTACTGCTGTTTCTTTTGAACATATTTAGCCCTTCACTCATGATCACCTGGGATGAATGTCTAATGTTATGTTTAGGAGAAGCAGACTGGCATACAGCTGAAGTGTGGCTATTACTCTAGTTCTGGAGCAGTACAGTCAGAGTGAATGGAGAGCTGATAGCTGTCTGTGGCAGGAGACACCTGAAAAAACACAGTACCAACATCAGTGATCTCTTTTTTTCCCCCCTCAGCATTGAGCCAGCAAAGAGCAGCATTGCTCCCTTCCGGGGTCTGAAACGACCGCTCCAGTTCCTGGGCCTTTTTGAAACATCTCTCTGCCGCCTGACGCATATTCCAGCCTACAAGGTAATGAGGCTGCAAGAATACTGGCAGCAGGTACTTGGTAGAAGTTGAAAAAACATGAAAATCATTGGCTGCCAGTAGAGTGGGGTTCTTAGTGTCTTGGGTGTGACAACTGAGCTCTGACCTTCCAATAGCTACTTGATAATGCAGGAAAACTGCCAGAAGGCAAGACCTGTACCCCACATGGTTTTTACAATTAGAAAAGGGCATGGAAGGACCAGGATGTCTGTGACTACAAGAAAAGGCTTTAAGACAACAGGAGTCTTACTTGTGAATGGCATCCTCCTGCCCCGAAGGTGCCATTTCTTGACCCTCTGGGCGGAGAAGTGACTCTGCCTCTTTGCTCTCATCCTGGGCCTGCCTAATCCTACTAGCAGGGTAGAGGGAAGTTGCACCCTTCAACCTTGCAGATCTACCCTCAGAATTCCATTCTCACATTGGTTTTCCCCCTTCATCATTTCTTTCCCGACTCTTTTTGTTCCTCTGTGCCAGGTGAGTGGAGACAAGAACGAAGAGCAAGTCCTGAATGCTATTGAGGCTTACACTGAACACCGGCCAGAAATCACTTCCCGGGCCATCAACCTCCTTTTTGACATTGCCCGTATTGAACGCTGCAGCCAGCTGCTGCGAGCCCTTCAGGTAAGCCCCATTTACCTCACACTTACAAGAGAAATTTTGCAGTCCCAGCCTTTTCTTCACACTGGGACACCATATCAGGCCATTCTGGAGAAAGTTCCAGTAGTGCAGTGGAACTGGGTACCTTCATTTCATAAGCATGTTCCTGCAATGCCTGGGCCATGCATTCTATGCAGGCTTGTGACGGTCTTTGCTCCACACGGCCATAACAGTCACTCCAAGACCCAACAGCAAGTCAGTGGCACTGAAGCTTCATGTTGCTTCTCTACAGCTGGTGATCACAGCCCTCAAGTGCCACAAGGATGACAAAAACATCCAGGTGACAGGCAGCGCAGCGCTGTTCTACCTGACCAACTCCGAGTACCGCATGGAGCAGAGCATAAAGCTGCGGCGCCAGGTCATCCAGGTGGTGCTGAATGGCATGGAGTCCTACCAGGAAGTCACAGTAAGAGTGGCCCAGCCTCCTTCGGCTCCCATATTCCTCCTTCCCTGTATTAAGTCTTTAGCCTGGTGTTAGCATCTGGGTCTTCTAAGCCTCCAGGATGCGAGCCAAGGCAGACACCAGATAACTGCCCAGATCTGCTCCTTGCCTTCACTCAGTGTTGGGGATTACATGCAGGGGGCTCCTTATCCATGTGATGTTCTCCAGAACAAGGGGAAGAAAGTGATTATAGCAAGGCTCCTTTTTATCTGATGATAGTGGTCAAAGGGTGTGTACAACACACAGCACAGATATCCAGCACTGGCTGTGGGGTGAAAAGGGTGTGGGTGTTGAGTCAACAGAAAGAAACATTATCCCAATACACTGTACCGGAAGCTAGCTGACATTATATACTGTGATGCCACTGGGTTGCAGAATGGCAACTGCTGCATGGAGAGCTTACAGGCAGTGAGGAACTGGCTTGGAAAGTGATGGGCGTTGGGTGATTATTTGGCCACATGAGACTAGAGTGACAGCGAGAGAGAAGAGGGTACTGATAGAGCACAGCTAAAGCACAGTGCTAGATAGGAGGGTAACAGAAATTTTAGTGGTCATAGTCAAGAGGATGGTTTTGGTACCAAGCAGCAAGGAAGCATGAGGTGATAGGGTCTGTGTTTTCGTAGCCACTTTGCCCAGCGTTTGCTTCCTTTTGACCCAGGTACAGCGAAACTGCTGCCTGACACTGTGTAACTTCAGCATTCCTGAGGAGCTGGAGTTCCAGTACCGCCGAGTCAACGAGCTGCTGCTGAACATCCTCAACCAGAGCCGGCAGGATGAGTCTATCCAGCGCATCGCTGTGCACCTCTGTAATGCTCTGGTCTGCCAGGTGGACAACGATCACAAAGAAGCTGTGGGCAAGATGGGGTTTGTCATGGTTGGTATGGTCCCAAGGTGTCTGCTTATCCTTAACCCAGGCTAGCACAATTCCCTTGCAGCAGTCCACCAAACACATCCAGCCAGTGATCCAACCTTACAGTATCACAGGAGGGAACTAGTGTCCTAGCAATGCTAACCTTTCCTGGAACCTACCCCTCCACGTGACCTCTTTTACTTGCTTACCAGCACTGGAAGTCATGATCTCAGAAACAGGCTGTCTGTGAGAGCAGGAAAGCAGTGTAACCTTATACCGTACCTCTTCACCGCATCATATTATTTCCAGAACTGGTACCACCTTGAGACTAGCTCCTTCTGCATCTCCCCAAGTTTGCATCAGCTTTCCAACTCATGTCAACCCATATACCTCACGTTGAAAAAGAGCTGCAGAGGTCAGAGGTCACTGCTTTGGTGCAGTTATACCACATTCCAGACTTTCTCATACAGATCAAAACTCACTTGACTGCAAACTTGACAGCCTGGGGCCTGTGATATATTTCAGCTCTGTGAATATTTGCAACACTGAACATAACCCAGTCCCACTGGTTTAGAGAAAGAGACACCAAGTAGGTTCTCTACAAAGGATCAAAACTGCATATGCCTGCAAATTGGCTGTAGCCAGCCCTGCAGTACTACAGCAGCTAGTTTTAGCTCTGTGATTCTTGAACTGTTTCTCACTCTTCCCCTTCCTCTGCCCACAGACAATGCTAAAGTTGATTCAGAAGAAGCTGGCTGATAAAACGGTGAGTGTTTCCCCCAAAAATGTATACATAGAGTATATTCTCTTCAGTCCGACTTAGGCCTGGAGATCAGTCCAGAGTGCTAGCTCAGCTTCTCCAACAAACACAAGACATCTCAGCTGATGCTGCAGAATTTCTTGTCCCAGGGTGAGGGCGGGGGAATGTGACAGGGAGGCAAAAACATTAAACAAAAAACCCCACTTACCAACAAGTTAAAAGTGAGTAACAAGGTTTTCTTACCTCTGGAGCCATCTAGGGTGATACCAGAGAGGAAACACATGTGATTGGTTTGCACTGGGCTCCCATGTTAGCAAAGCTCTGTTTCTGTCCCTTTCTCTTCGGCTCTGTAGTGTGATCAGGTGATGGAGTTCTCCTGGAGTGCCCTCTGGAACATCACTGATGAGACCCCTGATAACTGTGAAATGTTCCTTAACTACAGCGGCATGAAACTGTTCTTGGAGTGCTTGAAAGTAAGTATGTCTGGTTTCCTCTAGAGGAATGCTGACATTAGCAGTGGAGATGCCGGTGCCTGGGCAGGATCCCTGGCTGTGCTAATCTATAAGCAGTACTTCCTATGTTGCACAAACAGAAAAGAAAAAGCTTGCATGTTTTCTTCTTTCTCACAGCCACCCACCCAACCAGTAGAAGAACAGAGAAACTTACACTCAACATATCTTCCTCTTTCCCCATCTTGTATGCAGTCCCCCCCAAGTAAAGCAGCAGCAAATAGCAAGCTCCAGCCTCAATTCTGTCATTTCACATGTATCTTAAACACTAGAGATCCCACTTGGCATCTGCTAAAGAACCATTAGTGACTACATAAAAACGCTCAACCCTTCTAGATGTGCTGTACAATCTTTCTCTAGGGTTGCTTGTTCTCAGTATCACCACAGTCCTACTTTTGTATAATCCTGTTCTTTGCTTGCTTAGGAGTTCCCAGAGAAACAGGAGCTGCATCGCAACATGCTGGGCCTCCTGGGCAATGTAGCAGAGGTTAAGGAGCTCCGCCCACAGCTCATGACCTCCCAGTTCATCAGTGTGTTCAGGTGAGCGCCTGGCTAACGAAGAGCTGAGCTAGGGCAGGGTGAATGCTCTGGAGCTCTGCTCCTGAATCACCTGGAGACTTTTAAACCTTTGGTGCATCAGCACTTCTAAATGATCTCTCCTCTCTTGGCAGCAACCTGCTGGAGAGCAAAGCAGATGGGATTGAGGTATCCTATAATGCCTGTGGTGTGCTCTCCCATATCATGTTTGATGGTCCAGAGGCTTGGGGTATATGTGAGCCCCACCGAGAGGAAGTTGTAAAGAGGATGTGGGCAGCCATCCAGAGCTGGGATATCAACTCCAGGAGAAATATCAATTACAGGTGAGGAATAGAAAAGTTCGGCCTGCTCACCTAGGAGCCAGGATTGTCACAGGAAGCAAGCACCAACAGAGAGAAGGGAAGAGGTATAGCCCGGCATGGAGCCTCTGTTTAAAGTAAAGGAGAAACATCCTCAGGGACATATTTAGTGAGGGTTCTACATCTTCATTTGAAACACAGGCTGCTGAAATTAGACACCTTACCTGGCAATTCCTATGGTAGAAGTGTGAGAGCCCAACAGAATTTCTCCTGCGTGTTTCTGGTGAAATTGCATAGTTAGGAAACCCCTGATCTGACTATCTGGGACTGCCTAAGCATTTTCCTTCGAGACTGCTGTCCTTTGCACCTCCTTAGGTCTGTTTGTTTCTGAAGGTCACATGGATCGCTTAGCTTTCACTCTCCTCAGGGGGATATTTAGACACAGTTGCCAGAAATCCCTTCAAGGGTTAATACAACTGGTGGAATCCTCCAAAGCCCTTCCTGTAAGAGGGTATCAGGTACTCTGTATTCCCATAGTGCTTGGCAGGGGTCCAGAACGAATGGCATTCCAATGCCTGAGCTACAGTGTAGACACATTATTGTTGTCAGAAGAAACACAGCAACCATTGCACGTGAGCAGCCAGCTTTGGCTGGGTATAATTTTGCTTTGGCCCCTCTACAGAAAGATCAGTGCTGCTGGGTTTCAGCTGTCATGAGGAAATGACTGTCAGAGGATGGAAATCAGTTCTTAGACTCAGTTGCATTCGTTGCAGCTATTTATCTGGGCGGCATGTTTGTGCTAAAGTGGTAGGGCCTGTAAGCCTGCCAGTATTGCCGTGTGACACAGACTCAGTCTTTGATGCCCGAGTCTTTGACGTACCAATGGGTTTACTGCTATGGTATCTCTGAGCACAGAGTTTGTATTGCTTTGAGTGGCAAAGGTGCTGAAAGTAGCAGCTCTTGGATTTTTAACAACCTCTGCAATATTTCTGTGCAGGTCATTTGAACCAATCCTTCGACTTCTTCCACAAGGGATCTCCCCAGTCAGCCAGCACTGGGCTACCTGGGCACTGTATAACCTGGTCTCTGTCTACCGTAAGTTCCCTTTTCGAAATGACATCCACTGCACTGTAAAAGTTGAGGGTGTGGATCTGAGCTTGTTAGTTGAAAAAGTCTTCCCAGCTTAGCTATGTTAGGTAGAGAGAACCTTCTTTGAATGATGCAGGAATGTCTGGGCAGCACAGCCAAACAAAAACCAATAAGACTTAGTGTGTAGGAAATTCCTTCAATGTTTTGATCCTTCTGGCCATGCTCTTATGCTCTTAGCCACTTTGTGTCTGCTGTTTTCACAGCCAGGGCACCCCTAGCAGGCTGGCTCCATAAAAAAGAGAAGTTTTGTGGCTTCTCAGGCCACAGGCTTCTCCTTCTCCTCCTGCCACCCTTTATACCACTCTTGTGAAGGTTCACAAGGTCCTGTTTTATTCTTTTCTTTGCAGCTGACAAGTACTGCCCACTGCTGATCAAAGAAGGTGGAATTCCCCTTCTGAAGGACATGATTAAAATGGCGTCAGCACGGCAAGAGACCAAGGAAATGGCCCGGTAGGAAACCAATGCACTAACATCAAACATTCAGTTTAGCTTTAGTTTAGTTTTTATTCTACATCAAGTAAGGCTACCAAAGAAAGGCTTGTACTGGTGTGTATGAGGGGTAACAAGCAAACACAGGAGAAGAGCAGGAAAAGGAGGGTGAAAACAGAAAGCTAGAGGGCTGTTTATAGGTGGGCAATGCACACAGATCATTCAGGGTTGATGGATGCCAGGCAGTTTGTTTGTAGAAGTGGCTTGTTGGACAGGGGAGCCACATGGCTAGTTGCATCTCTTATGCCAATAGTCTCCAGTCATCACTAGTCTCCATCCCTGTGTGGGCTCCCTGTCTCCAAAATTGTATTGGCCTGTCAGTAAAATTGCTGACTGCACAGTTAAAATGAGAGGATTTTTCAAAAGGTAGAGAGAGTCCATCACCTTTGTGAGCTTCCCCAGCTTACTTTGTTACATGACCTTCCTTTGGAGTCATTCTTTCAGAGTTTTAAAAGCCAGCTGCAGTTTCTAATCATTGGCAAACTGAGAGCTGTCATTTCATACCTGCAGGATGAATATAAAAGAGCAGCAGAGATCGGCTGGGAATACGTCTCTTGTGGGTGGGCAGCAGGCATCCCCCATAGCTGAAGGGTTGCTAAATGCTGGAGGTGGCTGAAGCCTGCAGAAGACTCTCACAGTTAGGCAGCCTGTGTATGGTGATGGGGCAGTGCAAGAATGGTAAATGAAAAGAACAGGAAAAGCAGGGACAGAGGACAGCAGAGTGAATGACAAACAACACCTGTATGCACATGTTTCCCCATGTAATTCAAAGTTACCTGACAATTTGGATACGGGGGTGACGAATGAACAGTCATATATGGATTTGGATGTATACTAACATGACTTGAAATTCCAAGGGGATGAACCGTGAGCTCTAAGCTGCTTTTGTGGAGTATACTGGTTTTGACACAAATATCGGTTGATGCATCTCTCAAGAGACTGCCTGCTGCAAATAGTATACATTTACATAGAGATCAAGCTGTTGGACAGTTCTTATGTTACTGTCCCACAACGGTCGTGCAATAAGCTTGAAACTAAACCCTCTCTCCTTGTCCTTGTTTTATCCATAGGAAAGTTATAGAGCACTGCAGTAACTTTAAGGAGGAGAACATGGACACTTCCAGATAGAGGCAATCATCTAATGCCTCTTGCCAGCACTGTATCCAGCTTCTCTCTAATTCACTGTATATAGGGAGGACTCTTTCTTACCAACTTGCCTGTTGGAAGGAAACTTTATGTGTGTGTGTGAAACCCTCAGTAGATGAAGGTGAACGGGGAGGGGGGGAGGGACTTTTTGCACAACAAAATGCTTTCCTTAAATTAGTGGACTTTTTTGTTATGAAGTTTCAGGTTGAAGTTCTGTGTGTATGATTTCTGTATAGAAAGAAAACAAAAAACAGAGACAACTACATTATGTACCTTTTAACCTTTTTATTTTAGACTACACAGAGCGCCTCAAATGATCATGAGCTTGAAGACCTAGTTGCGTGATCGCTAGTGTGACATTTTTATTTCCCACTTTTTAGAAAAATTCCCTTTTGCTGTATTGCATGAGGTCCTGTAATGTCTGCAAGAACACCAGTCTTGAATCGGTATTGGCTGCTCAATGGGGTTACAGGCAGTGATGAGTTATTTAGGTGGTTAGAGAGGTTGGGGGACACAATACCAGCGAGTTAGACCAAAAAAACTGACCTTTTTAGCGATATTTGTAAATTGAGGAAATGGGAAAGAAAGATTTTTCAAGTAAATTCACTGCCTTAAGGGCTTTTTCAGAGAAGACTCACATTAATGGAAACATTGCCAACTGTATGTGGGTCATTCGGAAGTAAGACATTTCCATTAAAGTCAAGAGGTCTGGTTTGTCCCCTTTGGCGGTACAGTAGGCTCTGCCAGCCCACCCAGCCTCGTAAGGGCAGGGATAACCAGTAAAAGCAGTTACACGTCCTTGGCAGCACAGAGCTTTTTCTCTCTAAGGGAGCCTGCGTAACAAGGAACAAGGTTTGTTCACAAAGGGCTACGCATCTTCATTCCAGTCCTTCTCCACCTTTTTAGTTGCGTTCTGTTTTATGGGGAAGGGCTACAAATGCCAGAGAGTGTATTTCCCCTCTGCATAATAAGCTGTACTAGGCCCCAGTCCAGAGCGGCTCGTACCACTTGTGCAAGTCCCAGTAACAGACCGGAGCTGTTCTGCTCTTTTTCAGTCTGCATCAGTGCAAGCTGTGCTCAGTGGCAAAGTAGTCTCCCTTTAATGGAAGCTCACTGCAGCACAAATGCTGTAATTGGAGGTGCTGAAGTCCTCTCCTGAGACTGGGGAGTCTCCAGACACCCTTTGGAGGGTGATCCCATGAAGTAGCACCTCCTGTTCCACCCCAACATCTTCCCCCTCTTCTGGGAAGCAAAAGGCCCTATTCTTATCTGACTCCTGCTAGCACTAACCAGTGCAGTCCCGCTCACATCAGCAGCATTACTCCAATTTATGTGATGTCAGTGAGAGGAGACCAATTTATGTGATGTCGGCGAGAGGAGACCACCCACTAAGGTGGTCTTCACCTGTAAGAGTCTAGACCTATAAAGGCTCAAGAAACCAAAGGCCAAGGTTTGCCTCAACAGCCAGGCACTCAACAACACGACGTGCAGTCCATACTTAGAGCCCTCTGCTTGCCACAGTTCTTTCACAATTCACAAATCTTCCTTTAGAAGGGGTTTAGAAAAGATTTTATGTCTAGTAGCAGTAAGAGGAGACCATGGCCATGTGAGTTGGGACATTTCAGGCCTCTGAGCACAGTAACCCTCGCTGCTCTCTTCCCTTGTATACATTGCTCTCGGATTTGACTCGCTGCTATGAGGTTCTTCTAATGCTCAGAGTTAATGTTGTCATTGCTGAGCACATTATAGACAGATCCTAGATACACAAACTGACACTTTAAATGACGGAACACAGCTGCCCTGGAAAGGTTTACTTTTTCTGCCAGTATGGTGTTACTCGATGTCTTTTTTTTTTTTTTTTCCTTTTTAACCATACGTCATTGGTTTTGATATTGTGAGATCTGTACTTTTTTTCTTTAAGTATTTTTCAAACTTATATATATTTTTGTGTCACTTTTGAATTGTTTTCATACGGTTTGCAAAACTTGATGAATTATACTTTTTTGCAGTTGTTTGATTGAAATATATTTTTCTCTCTCTTATTCCTGTTCCCCAAGAATTTATGTCCTATGAGCTTTAAGACAGGGAAGCTTATTTCAAGATCTGTTTTCTGTATAACATTTGCTAATCTTCCTTCTAGATGCAAAACTAAGAGAGGCTGCAAATACTGCCAACCAGCCTTAGAGCATTAGGGGAGCCAGGCTTTGCTCATTTAATTCTCCATTCAGTGTTGCTGTCCTTTTGAAGTTGTTTCACGTGACAGTGCCACCCACTAGGCTTTCTTCCTTTCTAATGCCCATATAGTAAAAGCTCCTGCCACCAAAATCTTGAATCACGTGACAAAGAGCACTCAAGATTCTGACTATGCTGGCAAGGTGGGAGCGGAGCAGAAGGGGACACATCACAGATGTGAGAGGTATCAGAAACCCATGTCCCCAGAATGCAGCTGCCACTTTGGGGAGACAGCTGGAGCTCGGGAAGTCCCGTCTCAGCTAGAGCAGACCTCAGCCTTGCATTGTCATCAGAGCCAAACAATCAGGCTTTACACTGAGATTTTGGCACAATTACATCACAGTTAATGAACAATCGATGGCTTGGTTCCACCTGCCTCAAGACCCCAAAGGTTTGGGTTTTTCAAACCAGTGCCCCTGTAAGTTCAGCTATTACTGAAGTCTCACCTGCTGCAAGCTGGACCATGGTATCCCAAACTTAACCAGATCCAAGCTGCATCAAACCTTTGTTTCACACTGTAGAGATAACCTCTATCCTTACTGCTCACATATCCTCACCAAGCTGTACCTGAGCCTGAACCAGGATAAAAAGATTTCAAAGTCCCAGCAACATGGAGATTAGTGGAGTCAGGCCAGCCTGCCAGAAAAGCTTAGCTGTCTGAAATCTGTCACTGATCGCAGGGGGAAGAGGGAACTATAACTGGTCTGTTACACCTAGCTACACATAAGATTTTGAGTAAGGCCACCAGCAAGGTAAATTCCTGAGACAGCATTTTAAAAGAAATAGCATCTCTTTTAGAGTAACATGAGCTTTGGCTACAAGCTTCAACGTCTTCAAGCCAACAAACTTTGTGAGCTGAAAAATAACATTTACTTTCAGTAAGGAGCAAAAGAGAGAAAGGTATCCTCTGAACACCTGAGCGTAATCCAGGAATTCCTGTAACTGGGAGTCTGAAACTAGGTTGTACCTTGGTTTCCCTAACCGAAACAACAGGAGTTGTTGCACCCTAGGCAAATGCATGTAACCGTGACCTGAAAGCACTTTTTGGAGACAAAGAGGAGTTAATGAATTGCTGCTGTAGATCCAACGCTCAGGACAGAACAGAATAGTTGTCTGCAGCCATCATACCAATATTCTGCAAAGGAGGGGAGCGCAAAGTGGCTGATTTTTTATGAAGGTCTAATGTAAAAGGGGAAGTTGGATACCCTGAAATGCTTGACTTACAGAGAAGCCTCTCAGGACTCCCAGCTTTGCTGGAGCAAAGGAATGAACCAGGAGACTTAACTCCCTACAGAATTATAGAGCCAACGACCAACCCTGCCCAGAAAACTAGAACAGGGTTCTGTCTGTCAAATGAGAATCCAGCTGGAGAGAAGTTCATAGTGTGTAAAGATATGGCAGAGGGGCTCCTTGTGCTCTGTAGTTGTTGTCCCATTCAGACTCTTATTCATGTTTTCACTACATTTCCTTTAATACTCAAAAGCTTGGCAAGCAGAGCATGAACACAACTCGGTAGTTCTCTGCAGAGACTGTGCCAACAAAGGAACCCTCTACCTTGGCTGTACATAGTTTCCCTTCCTGGCTGGAGGATGCCTCGTCGTTCAGTGGCCCAAGTCAATGACACAGCAGTCCTCAGCATGCAGGGTATCAGGTGTCTGCCATTTTCTGTGGAATAGGTAAGAGAGCAAATTGGTGGGCAACTTTCCACAAGTGCTTCCATTTTACAAGATCTGTGGGAGGAATTGCTTATAATGATTGGCATCTACTTGTACAATGCCCAACACCCAGCAGCACCAGACTTTCTCATCAAAACCAAGCCAAGAAAGTTTAGCACTGATATTTGTGGCAATTAGTAACATTGCAGATAATTCATCTGCCCCATCTGCATCATGGCTGCTATTACCCTGCACCTACCTACTGGCTGAAATGGTATCTGTTCAGCACTGAATCCCACCCAGCCTGTCACTTTGGCTGGGCTTCTGCTGCAGTCACTCTGGTCTCTGCAAAAGATGAGTGGGAAGAAAAGTCTTGGAGCTGTGAGCCTATTCCCCTCTCATCACTTGAAGAAGGCAATTAATTACCGATAGAGCAAGAGCTACAGGGGCACTGCATTCCAGCACTACTCCACAGAAAAGATGTTTTCTTGAGACTGTTTAGGGAGGAGCCTGCACCAGCTCAGGTGTTAGAGGGTAGCTTGTGCTGGAAAAAAGATAATTAAAAGTAGGGAAACAGCTGGTCTGCACGACAACCATGTGTATGAAGCACAGAGGGTAATGGTCATCAGGAATGGATGAAAAGCAACATGGGGGCTGGATGAGAAGACAGCACTTAAAAAAAGGAATGAGGGAGATTTCCTGCTGAACTGAAACACTTCTGCTTTAGCAGACTATATTTTGATTCCATATAATTGTCACTGATTCTCTCTCTGTAATTCTTTTCTTGTTTAAAAAAAGTTTTTAAGCTAACCAAATATGTATTTCCTTGTTTTGCGTAAAGAAAATAACCTCAGTTATTCTGAGCAAGCGTCTGCTTTTACTCTGTCCATTGACCTGCCTAATGTTGAGAGGCCTGGTTCAAATGTTTGTACATGTTGAAACCGAGCAAAAAAATAATAATGCACAACTGTTGCTTCCTTACAATTCTGAATGAATTAACTTTTCTGTTGTATCCATTGGATACCCGCTGTGTATTAAACCTAGTGCTTAACAATGTCTTCTTCCTTTGGTCTATGAATGTGGTTTATTTAGGTACATTACTGGTCCATTTGCTGTCATATATTTCATTAAAAATGAAAGGAACTGCCATGTGTTGATGATGCAGTTCAGTGGCTTTTCCTTTCATCACTCCAAGGGATACAATACTGTTTGTCAATAGAAAAGAGGCGTGGAGGAAGAGTGTATTGTTATGAAATTATGTGGGAGTAGAAAAAAAACTCAGAACAATATCTGACTGTACAGATTGTCTCTGAACTCTGTAACAGATCTGTGGCTTGCATTCCACAGCCTAAGCTTTGTAAGTGGGCTGAAGCTGAGTACTTAAGAAAAGGCTCTAGCTTGAAACAGTCAATCTCCTTTAAGGCCAGCGTGACTTTCTTCTTAAGACCCTGGTCCTGCAAGGGTTCAGCTGCCAGTTAATTCAATGGTCATTGTAAACTGTCTGAAGGATCAGACTCTAGGTAGCTGAAGTAGGAGGAGGAATCATGTGACACTGAACTGCCTGTAGGCAGCTGAAAATGTACCATGTTGCAAGACTAC